ATGGATGGATGGATGGATGGATGGATGGATGGATGGATGGATGGATGGATGGATGGATGGATGGATGGATGGATAAAATATTTTTTTTTATAATGAAAGATAATTATGTTTGAGAATTAACCACAGTTTGTTTAGAAATGATTGACCTTCAAAATAAAAACATGTATATGTTCAGTTTTCCAGCTTCACTGAACCTGTGACATGAACTGTGGCTCAGTGGTTAGAGCAGTCATCCTCCAATGAGAGAATTGGAAGTTAAATTCTACTGGTGTGAACCTGAACCCTTCATTGCCTCTGATTGTGTGTCGATGGGTAAGTAAAGGTGCAGATTGTGTTGCTACAGTAGCGCTATAGAAGTACAGTCCATTTACAGCTTGTTCTCAAACAGTGTGAGTCTAAATATATTAAGTTTCTTCAACTGGAGGAACAGATTTTCCTTAAACTCTACATGACATCCAAATAGAGGCGACAGACAGTAACAGAAGCAGCACCTCTTTAAAGTTGGGGTGTTTGGCGCCCTGAACCAGCTGCAGCAGCACAGCCTCTGTGGTGGTGAGGTACGCGCCGCTCTGCTTCAGTCGGGACAGAGCAAACAGGCGGTCCGTCTGGCTGAGGGGAGAAGCACAAACACTTTGAAGTAATGCTCACATACTGGATAAAAGCATATAAAATGTCATTCAGGCAACATACGGTAACAGAAAAGCTGCAGTTAAACACAAATACCTTCTGGATGAAACGGCATCAGCCACAATATGGACCTCTATTCCCTTTTCAAGCAGATCAAATGTTGTGCACTGAACAACAGAAAATGTGCAGATATTAAAGTTTTGTTTTTGCTTTTCTTAGATTTTATTACTAACTTTAAAAGTTAGCAAACAGTAAGCAGAATAAATACACAGTAAATAAAGATCATAAATTCTTACAGCGATGCAAGCGTGTGCCTCTATTCCACACAGAATGGCTTGTTTAGGGTTTCCCAGGGCCTGCAGCTCCTTCTCCACCTCCTCGATCATCATGGTGAAAGAAGTTTTAGGATGAGCTGTCAGGTCCTCGGCTCCCAGCTCCGGCACAGTGGGGCCCAAACCTTTGGGGTACTGCTCTGTCAAAATAGGGGGGATCCCTAGAACACGGCTGGCCTGTGAGAAAAGAAAAATGAGGATTTTTTTATTTAAATACTTCGGGGGGGATGCACACGCTGGGGTTTATTTAGGTGGTGTGTGTTTGGACTACCTGGAGAAGTCTGGCTGCGTTGCTGACGATGTTGGTGAACTGGAAGATGTTGGGTCTGAACTTCTCCTGCATGTCACACAGGAAGAGGACAGCATCTTTGGTGGAGAGCCTGCCGATGTTTGCCACTGTGATACAAAGTGATACAACAATTAGTTTGGATGTGTGAGATTTTGTTGCAGAAGCGTTAAAAAATGTAAGGTCAAGTGTCCAACTCTGAATGCGTTTGCAATGGAGCTGAATTATTTGGACTTAAAACAATAATGAAACTCCTGATCCTGCACCATATTAGCAAAACAAATGTGACTTACTGTTGTTGGTTCAGATGTGAGAAGGAGGGATGGATGACTAAAGGAGACAATAAACTTTAACTCACAGACAGACTCCCATGTGACGTCTCCTGGAAAAACAACAGACCTGTTATACTAAAATAGTAGAAAAAATAAAGCAAACAGAGACCATTTCTAATAATAATAACGGAATATCCGATTAGTATCAGTTACATTAATTGCAAATTGAGTGTAATGTCTGAAAAACTAACCTTGCTAACCTAGAGCTAACACTCAGAAATTTAACTCGCGAGTTTTTAATAAGGCCCGCCTTCCAAAAACAACACTTTAACCAATGGAAACACGTGTTGCAGAGATCGACGTTTATGTGAGCCAATAGCAGGTAATATTTGTTGCGGCTCCATCTGCTGGAGCGTGGGTAGGATGAGAAGAGTGATCGCTTGAAGATCATGTCTGACACTGCAGAGTCTCCAACGGAACCACAAAAAGAAGAGCCGCAGCAAGCGACAGATTCTTCCGCATCTAACGAAGACAAGAAAAAAAGTAAGAGTAACTGTAGTGGTAGTCCATATAGTCTTATGTTAACGAGAGATATTGCTAAAAATAAAGAAAACAACTTCCTGTGTATAAGGTATTAGAATACTGACAGCATTCTTAGCCAATAGGATCGAACGGTTTCTCGTTTTAACCAATAAACATGTAGCTTTTGAGCACGTGATCATTTCTGTTTGGGGAAAAGCTAAAGCTAATGCTAACAGCTAAAAGGAAAAAATCCTTACCAATGTGCAATTCTGAGTGAATAAAGTGTCATAGCATATCAAACATATATTACAGTTGTATCTATACTTTCTTTATATTTTCTATTTCATTATAATTCGCTGATGTCCTACAATATGCCTAAAAACTGCTGGAAAAGGAGGTAAAGCGATGAGTTTGTTGAAACATCGTGTTTTTATTACTTATCTCAGTCAGGACAGGAATTAAAGGTCTTATAATATCTCATAAATATATATTTATTTTTATTCATGAGTTTCTGTAAGACCTTTTATTTATATCCTAAGTTATTTATACCATACCACTTTTATTTATAAAGCACTTTAAACAGCACAAGGCCAGCCAAAGTGCTGTACAGTAGACAGACACAACAGGACAAAGTCAAAATACAGATAAAAATATGGAGCATTAATGTCACAAGATGCTGAGCAGTTTAACTATACATGTGATAAAAATAAGAATTAAACCCTATGTATAAAGTTTCAACATGTTCAACAAAACTTTAGACAGCTTTCTGTGAAGCTCAAAATGAAAAATTATTATTTTTTCTAAATGTAATTAATTGTTTGTGTCGTCTTTGGTTACATGACAAATTTTAAAAATTAGGAAAACAAAACAGAAAGCAATTTGGAAGTCAACATTTTTAATATTTTTCTGTTTATACATAAATTAAAATATATATATTTAACAAAAGTTATATTTTGCACAAGTATAACGCTTGTCTGTACAGCCTTACACAGTCTTATAAGTGAGCCAATAAACATGCAGTGTCTTTAGTGAAAACAAGTTGTTTCAGGTTTTTTGTTTTTCTCCTGAAGCTGTGAAGTCATATTTTTCCTCTGAAGTCTGTCATCAGTTCAACTGAACACTTCAAGTTCAGATCTGTCAGAGTTAGACTTGCAGCAGCAGATGGTTTCACTTTTGTGTTTTCTGTTTTATTTTCCTAGTTGATGTGCTGTTGAAAGCGGTGGGAGACACTCCTATAATGAAAACAAGGAAGTGGGCAATGGACCGGGGGAGGACAGTGCAGTCACTATCTCAGTTCATTTCTCGCTTCCTCAAGTTTGATGCTAATGAGCAACTGGTGAGTATGGTGCTTTTTTTAATTTAATATTTCTTCAAAATAAGTCTGAGACACAATAAAGTTGCTCTTTTGCATAATGTCCTTCACTGTGTGTTTTGTTTGTTTTGCAGTTCATCTATGTTAACCAGTCTTTTGCTCCATCACCAGATCAAGAAGTAGGAGTTCTTTTTGATGTGAGTTTATATGTGCTCTGTCTAACCAAGATTATTCTCCTAACTGTGTTGAAATAGTCTATTGGTCTTCCATGAAATATTAAACCAGTAGTCTGGCAGATTACTGTCAGTTGACCAGCAGAGGGAGCATGAAGATGGAAACTTCATGTGAGAAAAGCAAAAGAAAAGAAAAACACTAATCAGACTTGATATTTACAGAAAGAGAAATCAGAAACCAGCTGAGTTTCCTTCTTCTAATATGTTCAGAATGTCTTCTTTATATATATATTTTTTTTTTGGTATTTTTCCAACATGAATAATTATATTATTTTTGTATTTTGAATGACTCAGAACCAGTACTCGTGTGACTAATTTCTTTATTTTTATTTTTTTGTCTCTCTTTCAGTGTTTCGGCAGCGATGGCAAACTAGTTCTACATTACTGTAAATCTCAAGCCTGGGGTTGATGAACCTGCTTGATGTTCTCTTTAATTCATCCCTTAAGCTTAAATGTTTTTGTTTTCCTCCTTTTTTGTATTTGCTTTCTTTGAGTTTTTATTTGCACGCACTGTAAATAAATTGTAAAATTTTTTGCTGTAATTATTCTTTTTTTCACTTCATTTTATTATTTGTTTTTGGACAGAAATCTTACCTTTTTAAAATAAAACAAAGTGGGCTCAAGAGATGGCTGATTTCAGATTGATTCTTGTAGTGCAGCGGGTTTTGTCGTACAGAGGAAGCTGGACAAACTGGAAGCGAGGGGGCACTGCAGCAGCAACAGATGGACTTGGAGGGATTACATGATTCAGGATGAGTATGTGACATGAATTCCCAAGAAAGACAGAAAAGAGAGTAGATTTGCGTGGAGACGGACACTTTGTTCCTCAATCAGTTCCCATTTTCTGTAGGATTACAGGGGAGAGCAGCTAGAGAGGTAAGGACCACTGATGCTCATCCAGGAGGAGAAAACTGGAGACAAACAGGATCCAGATGTGGAGTTTCTGAAAGATGGAGGAGTTCGGTTTTATTTCTTATGGAGCTTCTTGGTTTAATAAGGGTTCAGAAAACCACAAGAAGAAGAAATTTCTATAAAAAGCTACTTTTTTTTTCAGACGTTCTGAAAAATAAAATAGGTCTTGTAGATATCACTTGTCTTAAAATAACGAGATTTGGCTATTATTAAAATAAATGAGTATTTTATTAATCAGTAAATTAACATTTCTTTCAAACAAATAGTTATTCTTTATTGTAAAAGTTAATTTGCATTCATGGTCGTTGCAAGCTTGTTTTGTCCAGATGTTATGATTTCTTTAAGTTTATTATTTGGTCAAATATCTATTCATTCCAATCACAACATTGAAGAAAATATTTCATAAATTGGAAGAAATTATAGTAATAATGCAAAAATTAAACTGATTAAATAATGGATGGAAGCAACCTTCCAAGAAAAAGCAGAGGTCTTGTATGCTAAAATGAAAAGGAAAAAAATATGCAAAATTTGGGCTAAGGAAAGCAAAGAAAAAAAGAAAATTGAACAAAAATCTAATTCTTTTGGTTTTAAAACAGCACTAGTTTGTCAGTATTCAACTAGTTTGATTTTTGTAAGGGTCACAGAATAGTTGGAAAAAATTAGATATTTCTATGCTGGATTTAAAAAAAGGAAAAAATGAAAATAGTTGCACTGCACCTACAAACTATCTGATAAATGTCCTAAATGAGCTTTAATGTGTAATTTGAACTGTGCAACAAACCGATTGTTCTACATGATTTATTGTGATGTCAGCCAACACCATTTTGTCATTTTTGGGCTAATTAGTGCAAATTTATTTGTTTGTTTTTGTCCCCCACCCCCCAAACTTTTCTTGTCTTTTAGGGTCTGTGGGCAGACAGTGAGGTGATGCATGACACACAACATGGCACGTCACGCTAAAATACAACTAACTCACACAGATTAGAGATTTCCAGGGATTATCAGTAAAAGTAAAATCAATTTAAATCTGTGGCTCTTGAAAGTCTTAACAAAAAATTAATAATAAAAAGGTAAATACTTTGTTTAGTGCCGCTGCATCTTGTCCAACACTTGTCATCCCAGCGGGGCAGTTCACAGTAAGCAGCCAGTCCAGGACTGAGGGTGATAGTCAGGAAGCATAATGGTATTAGCCAGGGTCAGATGACTTAACCTTCCATAAAGCCGTCCTATTAACAGCTGGAGGATGTTTCTGACTCTAGGTAGAGACTGAAAGAACATTTGATAAAGTTAGATGTGGCCACATGGCCAATGTGGGATTTGGTTTCATGCTTTGTCCAAAGAACCGTTTCAAGGATGTTTTTTTATTTCACATTTACAACTTTTATTATATTTTGCAAAAAATCCTTTGCCTTTTTGACACTGCACAGTCACAGATCTAATTCAAATACAGCAAAAGGTTAAAAAAAGAGTCAGGGGCGGTCAGTTCCCACAAGGATCAATTGAACACATTGACTTCCACGATGCAAACCTCAACCACCTAAATCCTTACATCTTATCCTACTTTCTGGCCTTTCACTTATTTTTTTAAATCACTCAGATGTTGTGTTCTCTGTCAGCTGTATCTTTGCTCTCTGCTTTTACATCAGCTGCTGTTAAAATTTGGCAGATTGTTAATTCCTAAAAGCTTTCCAAAGGATTTGCCTCAACCTGTCAGCTACATCTCTGGTTGCAGTTATTTCCTCTCATCTTTTTGCCGTACACGTCCACCTGTGGTGTCCACCTTATTTTCCTGTTGCCCCCCACCCTCATCCTGTCTGTCTGCAGCCATGCTGGAGCACATGTCCCGTCGCTCTCGCTCCATGCTCTCCCTGACTCTAACCACCCTGGCTCTGACCCTGTCCATCCTGGCCCTCTGCACCTCCTACTGGTGTGAGGGAACGCACAAGGTGGTCAAGCCTCTCTGCCTGTCACCCGTCAAGATGAAGAACTGTGGTCAGAACAACAGCGAGCCTTACACCACAGGTACACAAACTCTGTCTGAAACGTGCCTTTTTGTGCAGCTTCATGTTGTTTTTAATTTGTTGTTCATTCAGTTGCACTGCAGTTAATGTTATAGGCTCGTGGACACAGAGAGAGTGCCTTCCTCCAAATATGTCCTCTTGCTGATTCATCCAAACACTCTAAAAATCCCAGGATGCATGGAGGTTTTAAGTAAAGTGACATTTTCTCATAGTTTGAACAATAAGGCGTCACCAGGCAGGAAACAGATATGATTCTTAACTGTAATGCAAGACTTCTTTTACTTAAACCAACATGCCACAAAAACCACCAAAAGAAAATCATTCAATATTTTATCTCCTTGTCAGTGTTATTTTTTACAACACAGTATGTTTTGTTTTGGATAATTGCAAATGCATTCTAATGAATTTAATCTGACACGAGATAGATGTATAAAATGAAGAAAATCAAACTTTTAGTCTAGGCTCAGTTGGTAGAGCTGTTGCCTCTCAGCAAGAAGGTTGCTGGGTCGAATCCCAGCCGGGGACCTTTCTGGGTAGAGTTTGCATGTTCTCTCCATGCATGTGTGGGTTTTCTCTGGGCACTTTATCCCACAGAACAAAAACATGACTGTTAGGCTAACTGGTGACTCTAAATTGTCCCTAGGTGTGAGTGAGAGGGTGAATGGTTGTTTGTCTCTACGTATTCCTGTGATGGACCTGCGTCCTGTCCAGGGTGTACTCTGCCCCTCGCACAGTAACTGCTGGATGTGGGCACCAGTGACCCCTGAAAGGAAGAAGTGGAAAAAAGATGGATGGATTAAATTAGAAGTCTTCATTGTTAATGAATTAGAGTTTCTGAGAGAATGAATCTTTAAGCGATAGTTTTAATAATTTGGGGTTCTATAAAACAGTTATGAACAATTAGTATCTTACCTCTTGTATATAGCACTTTGAAAATCCTCAGTTTAACTCTGACCAAACTGATGTGCTAACAGCTAATGCTAACTCAAAATGGAATTCAGCTGTTTTAAATCAACTCCAATCTCAAAGATTTCAGTTCATGTTCCCACTATTTTATAAATATTAACATCGTGGTTAGCTTTGCATTACGCTATTACACAGGATTTCACATAAATACATGTTAATAAAGTAATGCAAAACTGACAGCAGCTTAAAATGTTAATCAACCGTTGCAACTTCTAAGATGTGTGTTGTTTTAAGATGGCAGGAATCTGCTTTGATCTTGACATCGCTCCAACCTTGTCAGAATAAAACATTTCTCCAAATTTGTTCAAAAAGCTATCTACGGCAAGTAAGATATTAACCGTTTAAAACGTTTCAACAAAATTTTGCTTCAAAGGATTGTAACATTTGATTTAGGCTGTCCAAAAGAACCAAATAATGTGTCCGATTACCGTCCGTTCCTCTCAGTCGTTTCATGAATGCAGCTCTGACACCAGCTTGTCTAAAATTTTCACCTTCACTACCAAAACCCGATTACACAAGATTCATTTCTTGAACTTTACACCCTCTCTGCATCACAACAAATACCTCCAACTAATCCGACAGGATAAATAGGAAAATCTCAACTCTCCCTGAAAGTGATTGTTCTTGTTTTTAATCTCGTTATGTCAGAAGCTCAGTTTCAAGATGGACTTAATTGTGGTTTAGTTTTTAATCTCTGGGGAGTGATGGTGACTCCCAAGTGTTTTTTATTTTATTTTTATCTGTAGAAGAGAGGTCAACACTGCCCAATCTCAGTTTATTTTTGTGATATGCTTAATCCATGAGATTACTTTGATCAGTGCTTGTTTAGAGAGAACCGATATACAGTGTCAGCAGGCAGATTTAGAAAAACACGTGGAGATATGTGGCATAAAAATATTCTGAAATTTAAAATGAGTCCTCCTTTTTGATTTGCCCCAATATATTTCTGACAGAAAATAAATATCACAGCTTTGTTTTGGGGCATTTTCCTGCTGACACATACATGGTTTTTGATTTTTATAAGTCAAAAAGTGGCTGTGGAATGGTTATATAATGTATCTTACCTGATGCAGAAAATGCCCACACTTTGGAGACAAAAAGAGATTAATTACGACCAGACTGATGAGCTAAAGGCTATTTCAAGCAGGTCTTGAAAACAAGTAAGATTTTTTTTAATTTATAGCCGTTTCAAGCAAAAAATTAAATAAATAAATGTTATAATAAGTGTTTTAAAATGCTTGGACTAGCCTTCATCAATCTGGTCAAACTTAAATAAATCAAAGTGTTATCTACAACAGGTAAAATATCAATTGTTCATGTTTCAACAGAACCCTTCTTCAAAGTGTCTGACTAGTAAATGGACTGTACTTATTTATTGCCTTTCTATGCAACCAAGATAAAGTGCTTTACACCAATCTGTGTTCTCGTTTATCCATCCACACAGCACTCTGCTGTGGCTGTGTCCAGTTTCTAAGTGGGTCGGGACCTTGGGTAACCGCAAAGACTGGAAACAAGTGGCTGTGAATTTGGACGTTCTAGCCTTCAGATTTATTCCTGTCACCTTGCTAAATGCAAAAATAGTTAAAATTAACAAAATATCAATATGTTAATATTATTAATATTACAAAATGAGCTTAAAGGCAATTCTTCAAGAACTAAGGAAGCTGCTGTTTGTGCTCGTCATTTCACCATACCAGCTCGATTGATTTATGACAAAAATAGTATTAAAAAACATGTTTATGCAAAACATAACAAATAAAACTGCTTTAAACTTTATATTTTTATATTGCCAGATCTTTATTTGAAACTGCATGCCTTTCTCTTGCTTTGTCCGCCATGACAAGAGAAAAAAAAAAACCTCTGGTCGACCCGCAATGCATCTTGGGATAGGGTAGACCGGGAAGGATATGTCGGTCCCGTCACTCAAAGGGGGGGGGGGAGGGGAATGCATTTGTGGGTGGCAATTGGGGGAGTCTTTGAATTTGGACAGCCTTTAAAACGGCGCAGAGACGTAAGCGGCTGACAAATTCGGCCTTTGAAGGACGCAGCTCCTGAATTTGGACACAGCATGTGTCTCTCTACAAAGCTAATGTACATAAATCCATTTATGAAGACTAGTTAGTGCTTTAAATCACATTCATACTCTGATGGGACACACATCAGAGGCAGTGGGGGTTTTAGGGTCTTGCCCAAGGACACTTTGACAAATGATTAAATAGAGGTGGAATCGAATCGACAACTGTCTGATTGGAGGATGACTCCCCTAACCACTCAGCCACAGCTGCTCAAACTATCCATTTAATTCTCAAGAAGAGTTATAACTCTTCTTTCACTGAGTTGCAGAAAAAAAAAAGAACATGCAGGTGCAAAAACGAGCCCAAAAATAATTTATCTTCTCATTGTTCCCTTGTGTCCTCCCTCACAGAGAGTCCCACTCAGAACCCCTTCAACCGCACTCTGTCTCCAGCCAGAAGAGATGAGCTGGACAAGATCAGGCAGAGGCAGCTGGCCAACGCGGTCCACTACATCTGGGAGACGGGGGAGGACAAGTTTGCCTTCAGATACTTTCACACCGGCTTCTGGGAAAGCTGCGAGAAACAAAATGATGGTGAGATAATAAAAGCTCGTTGTTTAGTGCCATTTGGATGTGTAGTGTTCCAAAATCACATCTGTGAAAGCAGACGGTAACCATCCAAATTTGGTTTAAATGCTTACCTGTTGTTTGCAGGAGAGGTGTGTCGCAGCTTCATAGACTTAACTCCTGGAGAAACACAAGGTAGGCCTTGCATTCATTAGCCCTTTTCTCCCAGTCTTATCCACCTTTTGTTTCATTACAATATAATTGTGGTTGCACATGCTGCAGGCGTGCTCTGGCTGTCGGTTGTTTCTGAGTTTACATACATCGGCCTGCTGGGGATGGGCTTCTTACTGATGTGCCTGGAAATGATGTGCTCCCATAAAGAGATGCACGCGCTAAAAATCAATGCCTTTGCAGCCATTTGTACCGTACTGTCAGGTGAGGGTATTCTTCAGAATTACTGTTTTTCAGTGGTTTACTGGATCAGTTTATTGTTCCCTTCCTGTACAGGTCTTCTTGGGATGGTGGCGCATATGATGTTCACTACCGTGTTTCAGATGACGGTCATTGTGGGTCCGAAAGACTGGAGACCTCAGTCCTGGGACTACGGCTGGTCCTTCGCGTAGGTGGTTCGCTCCTCAGACAAGTTATTTGTACACTGCAGAGATCTTCTCCTCCCTTCTCGCAAATCTAACTTCTTTTTTTCCTCTCTAGCCTTGCCTGGGTGTCCTTTAGTTGTTGCATGGGGGCAGCTGTGGTGACGCTCAACTCCTACACAAAGACCATCATTGAGATTCGACGGAGGCAGAGGCTCCGCTTGGAGGAAGCGAGAGCCACCACTCACGCACCGACGTACGACGAGGTCGTTCCGGGGGGCGGTTTCTACTCTGTCAGCGGTCTGTTGCACTGTCCGGATGGCATGATCGACGTGGCGTGGGCCCCAAACGGAAGCGTGGTTGGACTGGGAAACGGGGACGTGCCGACGCTGGTTTTGGTGGGAGGCTGTGGACCGGAGGGGTGTGAGGACTGTGAAAGAGAGAGGGATGAGATGGAGGAGGCCATAGAGAGAGTTGATTCACCTTGTTAAGTGAAACATTAACTTTAAAAAAACTGAATCAGAAGGAAAGCATCACAGCACTGATGAACGACTCGGTTTTGTTTTGACTTCCTCTCTTCATGGGATGCAACTCATTGTGGGTCAAGGTCAGTGAAATGAACACATATCAAAATGTGAAGATGATTATGTACACTTAGGTGATACTAACTTCCACATCTGCTTGTCTTCTGCATTTGTTTCTGTGCCTAATGGGAGAAAAATAAATATATACATTTTTATATGCAAATTCATACGTTTATTTTATGCATCTGTTGTCTCCAAGGTGAAAACACGTCATCAAACATGTTTCCTTTTTTTTCTGGTGAAACTTGCAACATCTGAATGCTTTTAAACCAGCAGATCCAGCAAACATCTGCAGTTTCTGTGAGAAGAAGCACAGACAAACCCCATCGAGATAAAATGATTACAGAGATTTTGAAAAGTCTGCTCTCTCATGTTGAACAGAAGATTATGAGTAAAGCGCTAATCCCAAGTTGGACGGGAAGAAGGAGGAGGGGGAGAAAAAAAGAGGAGAGATGTGAAGAAACGAAGAAGAGCTGTTTCAGGGTGGGGTCAGAATGAAAGTTGGAAAGAAACACTGGCACACAGCAACACCCGCTGCCCACACACACTTTAACATCTGCACCAGAAAAACGTGTCATTATCAGGGAAATAAATGCTGTAAATATTAAACCAGCCCTGTCCACACTACTCCAGATATTTGTATATTTATTTTATGTTAATATTACATATTTATTTTTGCCATTTTAAACTTTTACAAAATGGCCTCACAGAGCAGTTCTGCTGCTTCTGGCCACTCAGAAATCGCAGATGGAGTAAACCACATCCTGCACAAACCAGTGATTTCAGAAACAAAGTGAGCATCACTACTAAGCCTCCCTGGTAAGGTTTATTCAGGGGTCCTGGAGAGGACGGTCTGTCGGATAGTTGAATCTCGTATTCAGGAAGAGCAGTGTGGTTTTGGTCCTGGTCATGGAACACTGGACCAGCTCTACACCCTCAGCAGGGTCCTGGAGGGTGCATGGGAGTTCGCTCAACCAGTCTACATGTGTTTTGTGGACTTGGAGAAGGTGTTTGACCGTGCCCCTCGGGGACTCCTGTGGGGGTACTCCGAGAGTATGGGGTACCAGGCCCGTTGATACGGGCTGTTAGGTCCCTGTATGACCGGTGCCAGAGTTTGGTCCGCATTGCCGGTAGTAAGTCGGACTCGTTTCCGGTGAGAGTTGGACTCCGCCAAGGTTGCCCTTTGTCTCACCGATTCTGTTCATAATTTTTATGGACAGAATTTCTAGGCGCAGCCAAGGTGTTCAGGGGATTTGTTTTGGTGACCTTAAGATCGCATCTCTGCTTTATGCAGATGATGTGGTCCTATTGGCTTCATCAGATCGTGATCTCCAGCTCTCACTGGAGCGGTTCACTAATAGTGAAGCAGTGAAGCAGTAAACTAGTGAAGTTTAAACATAAACTAAAACTAGTGAAGCAGCCAGGATGGGGATCAGTGCCTCCAAATCGGAGACCATGGTCTTGAGCTAGAAAAGGGTAGGTTGTCTTCTCCGGGTCGGGGAGGGGGTCCTGCCCCAAGTGGAGGAGTTTAAGTATCTCGGGGTCTTGTTCACGAATGAAGGAAGAATGAAGCGGGAGATCAACAGGCGGATTGGTGCTGCATCTGCAGTGATGGGGCGCTGTACTGCTCTGTCGTGGTGAAGCGAGAACTGAGCCAGAAGGTGAAGCTCTCAGTTTACCGGTCGGTCTACGTTCCAATGCTCATCTCAGGCTTTGGGTAGTGACGAAAGAATGAGATCGCAGACACAAGCGGCCGAAATGAGTTTCCTCCATAGGGTGTCTGGGCTCTCCCTTAGAGTTAGTCACATTTTGAAAATAATATGAGACAGACAATGACATTTTATGTGTATATCATCTACATGCCTCTTCTGGTTCTGCGATGCTCGCTTTACGTCCGTCCGTTTTCTTCCCTTTATCCAGAGTTGGGTTGCGGGGGCAGCAGCCTAAGTAGAGAGACCCAGACTTCCCTCTCCCCAGCCACTTGGGCAAGCTCCTCTGGGGGAATCCCAAGGCTTTCCTAGGCCAACCGAGAAACATAGTCCCTCCAGTGTGTCCTGGGTCTTCCTCTAGGTCTCCTCCCAGTGGGACGTGCCTGGAACACCTCATCAAGGAGGCGTCCAGGAGGCATCCTAACCAGAAGCCCGAGCCACCTCAACTGGCTCCTCTCGACGTGGAGGAGCAGCGGCTCTACTCTGAGTCCCTCTCGGATGACTGAGCTTCTCACCCTATCTCATTGTAGTGTGTCACTATCTGAAGTTGCTGTGCAACAATGATTCTCACTCAGTAATAAATCTGCTTGTTGCTCAATCCCAGGACTGGGTGGTCGCACAGGTCATCGCTGTATTACATTCCTGAACTACAGTACTGGTCTACTTGATTCTTTCCACTTTGTTACTACTTCGCGTTGTGGCACAAATATGCACCAGGTGTGGGTTGGCTTTAACCACTCCTTGCTGTCTTAGTCCGTTCAGAAAACACACCAAGGCAGCCAGATGGTGTCTAAAGTCACTGCTTGAAGTGTTTTGTGAATAGGGTTCAGAAAAATCGTGTTGTTTACAATTAATAATCTGAAAATTTGTCACCAATTAATATTTGGCACTTTGCAATTAGTGGCTTATATAAGTCATGACTCATTGCAGTGCAGAGCTAATGCTAATATGGAGCTAACACTAACACTTCAAACATGTTTAATTACCTGAAACACAGCCATAAACCAGAGCACAAGGAAACCCAGGACATGTGAACCAAGGCAACAATATCAGCTACAACAAACTCTCCTCCAGCAAATGGTGGAAATAAATCTACTCAGTTTAGAACCCAACATGCAATCAGTCAATCTGTCCTTTTACGAGAGGCAAAGTAAGTGCTGGAAGGAGATAATGTGGGTTTGACTGATGATTTGTAAGTATAATTTTAGAACACAGGGTAAATGATTTAGAATCAAAAACATGCAGGTGCAATTGTCACGTATTAACACTCATATTAATCGTTATCGGCTAAGTGCCACAATTAACCATGATTAATTTTTTTGCCAATATCGCCCAACACTATTTGTGAAAAAGCCTTTTGGCTTTGATTATTCTTAGTTGTTATTTTGTCAGAATTAACCTTCTCCAAACTGAGGCTGTTCAAAGAGCTATCCTCAGCAGGTAAGATATCTCTTAATCCTGATTTTTCCACAGAACCTCACTTTAAATAAATCTGTTCATATCTGTAGGTTAGACTTCTGAGGTAATCCTGGCTTTACTGCTGAGGATTAATACAAACTGAAAACTTAAAAGCTAAAGCACCACTTTGTTTTAACCACAAGAATTACAGTAAAAAAAAGTTTCTGGGTCAAAGGGGAGTTGGGGAAATACTGTATAAATAAACAGATTTCCAAACTACAGATATGAGAAAACCTTTAATTTATTGTTCGATGAATGAAGCACAACACTTGAGAGCTACAAACAAAATCGTTCCAAAATCAGTGAAAAAACAAAACACTAAAACAAGCTAAGACCAACATTTTAATAAACCTAAAAATATATTTTATAATATCACATTTGCATCTTTATTTCTTTGTTTTTTATGTTGTTACAACAAAATTAGTTTTTTGGCTGTGAATGCTATTTAACAAATTGCCGGCTAGTTTACATAATGTGTTCACAAACATTAAAACAAAATTCAAAACTTATTGAAAACTTGGTGAAACCTTGACAGTGCAAGAAGAAAGTATTTACACAGAGGTGAGTGACTTAAGTGGAGGGTTGAGCTCAACGAGGGAAAGAAAAAGAATGAGGGGAGATAAGCAGAAATAACTATTGTTTCATAGGTTCATACTGAATGAGGCGCATTGCGTTCTCATTTTCAATCACTCCTTTGATGAACTCGCCTTCAGCCAGTCGTTCTGTGAAGGAAATAAGAGAATAAAATGTTAAATTCTTTTTTTAATGTTAGGCCAAACTGTGTTTTTAGAGTTCCTCACTGAAGCTGAAGTAGGTCATAATAGTATGGCGTGTTGTGCGTATGACGCCTCTTACCATTGTCCCTCTTATCAAAGAAAGCCCACAGCTTGTTGGCTCTCTTCTCGGGTGTGTTCTCATCCTCTGGTAGCCTCTTCTGCTCTTCCTCGGGGATCAGCTTAAATATGGCCTGAGGAGGGGGGAGGGGTGAAAAACAGCTAAATATTTATCCCACTCAGCTACATTCTAAGTTATAACAGGACAGAAACATGTCCAAAATATGAAAACAAATTAGAAAATCCACCAACTTATCAAGTTCATTTGTTTGTTGTGAACATTTATGCTATTTGTTTATTTATTTATTTATTTTTACATCTTATTATTTTTTGTCTTTAATTGTGACTCCAGTCATGCGTCACCTTAAGTCAGGTAAGCAGGACCATGTTCACTAGCCTGGGCTTAAATCATTAGAGCTCTGCACTGGGTCATTTTTAAATCCAGTGGGATGTAAATGAAAAACTGTGCACTTCAAGTTCAGGTCTTTAAGACTGTGTCCCACTTTGAGACGATGCACTTATCTCTCACATTTAAGACACCTAGATTAACATGGATTAGTGCCATGACTCAAGCCGCAGGCCAAAAGCCGAGATGTCAACTCTTTTTTCTCTCTCTCTCTGCGCTTGCCCTGTCTTACCCCCTCTGATCTAGCAGCCTGCAGAGTTCAAACAGTTAGACATGGTTACGTATCCATAATCTTGTTAATCACTTCTACACAACAAGGTTGTAAAGGTTGGATGCAGTCATTTACAAACATATAAGAAGGCAGTGCCAAGCAGCTGCTCGGCCTTGGATAAAGCAATCTTATAGTCTTGCATCATCTGTGCTTTTTTTTGGATTCTACATCTAGAAAACAAAACTTTGAAAAGAAAATTTCGTAAACAACATAGGAAGTGATTCCTGTTCATTCAGAATAGTTCTTTCATATTTAATCTTCAAATTTGTCCAAAATCTTCAAGTTTTTTGTTCTACAAAAAAGTCTGCTTAAGTTTAACCTATTGTATAAAACGTTGTTTAAAGTTTAGTGCTGATTCTGTTGCTGCTTCTTCTTTAAAAAGCATTTATTTCATACAGCGATTGCCAACGCAACACTTTTGAACCCAGGCCAGTTGGCTAGGAAATAAATCCTATTACAATTCAAGCTGGATTCTCGGCTCATCTTCCTAAACCTCTTACAAACCCTTTATTATTTGTCTTAAAACAGAATGTGGGGTTGTTGGAAACCCACAAGTACAAAAACTCCGACTTGCGTCCATGAAAGTTTGACACACACCTTACAGGCACCTGGATTAGACCAGAGGTGATGGATAGTCTGGGAGCGGTGGAGCTCAAAATGCATCCTTGGTATAAATATGGTCTGCCTATTCTCTCTGACAGCTAAACCCATAATCAGAGATTATCAGGGGTCAAATCGAATAGCTAATTGGACTGACAGTCACCACTGAGACCTATACACCATTAGAAGGATTGACAATCACCACAAAACAACCGTACACATAGGGCAGATGAGACTAACCAAGAAATCTGACAAGAAAGATCTGTACCCAAAAAAAAATCCTTCAAAGTTTTCATTTATACAAGCATGAACATTGTTTTATTTTCTACTACATAAGGTAATTTCAGTGAGTTTGATGAAGAGTCAGAGTAAACATTTTTTTAAACAGGAGATGAAACAGATTTAAAAACCACCCAGCAAACCAGCTCTCACCTGGCAGATTTCTTTCACTTCCGACTTGTTGATGTATCCGTTCTTGTCTACATCGAACAGCGAGAAGGCCCACTCTAGTTTCCTGGTCGTCTTGCCGCTGGAGGTCATGTGCAGTGCTATGATATACTCCTTGAAGTCCAAAGTGCCGTCGTCGTTGGTGTCGAAGGAGCGAAACACGTGGCGCGCGTAGCTCTTGGCGTCGGCCTCAGGGAAGAAGCGGGCATAGATCTCCTCAAACTCTTCTGGCGTGATGCGTCCTGTGGGGCACTGCTTCTGAAAGTTCTCATACCACTGACAAATTTCAGTCTGACTGAACTTGGTGGTAAGCTTCAGGTCTTCCAGGATCTCCTTTGACAAGGCGCTGCTGGTAGTATTTCCCATGGCAGTTGCCTTTTAGATTCTGTGTCAGGTCTGTCAAACTTCCTGGCCACCTGAGTCCTTCAGACACTTTCGTTTTCTCACCCCTCAAAACTGATTTTTGTCCAAATGATATTTTTATGCTCAGATGTTACGTTTTTGGTGTATAAAAGCACAAATTGACCCTGAAAGAGACAAATGTCATATCTTTCGTATTAAAGCTAAAACATATATTGAATGATTTAATAACTAACGTTGTAAAAGGGATCAAAGATAAGGAGGAACCTTACCTGTGTGTTGTCAGGGCAGGGAACGGCTGCAGGACTGAGTGTTTGTCTCAACTGTCAAACAGCAAGGGATAAGGAGGGTAATGGGAAACACCCCTACAAGAGGTGACTGGGTTAATTCTCTTAATGCAGGATTTAAAGTGGATGAGTGCTTGACCAAAATGAACCCAGTATGCCAGTTTTCTCTGTTACGTCTGGAGATCTAGAAGGTTCCACAATATCTGCAGTGATTCATTGTCCAGCCAAGTGGTGTGGCACCTGAGAAATTGTCAAATGGCTCAGCGTTTTGTCTCAGCATGAAAGAACTTGGAAGTTTCACCTTCTATGGGACATATCGTTAAAAGATTTAGAGTCAGTAAGGACTAAAAAAAGAAAAGAAAAACAAGACAACATTGAATGGCAGAAACAGTGGTGGATACAGCTTTGCTAATATGCTAACTAAAAATCTAACTTCAGTAACACTAAACATAAAAAATTCTGCTAAACTAGTTAAAATAAGCAGAAGCTAACACTAACAGCTAATCACTAACTGCTAAGACGACTGCCAATCAATCTGTGAAGACGTCACACGTCTTTGTCTCCTTCAAGCTGAAGACGGGTGGGACTGACACAAACCTGTAAGTTAGGTGTTTAAGGACTTAAAGTTGACAAAACCTAATTTAGCTTAAGCTAACTGGTCCGTTTACATTTTAAGCGTTAGTGAAAAAGCTAATCCGCTAAACAAAAATTTGTTCTTATGGACATGTTCTTTTGTATCTTACTGGGTAACGATTTCCATTTCAAATACATACTTTTATACATACTTTTACAACGTGGACTCAGATATTCCTGAGAATTACAATATTTTATACGGATATAATGAAACTTTTTTTCCCCTGACATTACCTCCTAAAAACTGAAAAAATGTTTCCATTTTAAAACTTTTTTGCTTTCTTTCTGCTATTTGAAAATTACTTAACCTTTATTGCTATGTGATTTTTTTAAATTCAGTCCCAGCGTCCTGATTCTTGTAGTTCTTTATTGTCGTACAACCACTTCATAACACTGAGAAGTGCTTGAATGGCATAAAACAACAAACTTAATTAGTTTATGTGATTTGGGAAGCTCTGTGGAAAACACCAAGTGAAAATTTAAAAAGTAAACTTGCTTTAAGCTCTTTTTGCCAATTTAGGCATAAGTGTCATCTAACTACAGACTACCCATTCACTTTAACTCAGTGACTCATCTCTGTGTTCAATCCCTCCTACACCCCTCAAAGTAGCGTCACTTCCTGTGCTACATGACCAATAATGTTGCCTTCATTAGACCAAGATGCTTCTGTCTGCCAATTGGATTTTGGTCTGCTAGATGTTTAAACCTCTTCCCTGATTGATGATTGTGATAAAAAAAAAGGCCATGTTCATTTAAAGTGCATACTTTTGTGTGTATTTTCATCCCAATTCTTAATGACTATCACCTTATATAAAAGGGCAAAATAATAATTAACAGGAAGATGGTCTGTTTGACAAATTTCAGTCTGTGCCATTTACATCTGCAGACATAATTAACTGTCCTTTTCAGACTAACACATTGCATGATAATCATTCTTCCTTTACTTTTGGATTTAAAGGATCTATTTGCTCCACAAATATGCTCACTGAGAACATCTATTGGATTATGCCCGCTCTGCTCTCTACATTTAGCTAATTACCTGTCATCCTGTAAGTCAGACGGTCAGAAGAATTACCCTCACCCTTGCCACAAAACAATCCAGAGCATGTGATCCGGTCACTGTAGCATGGGCTATGTGCAGACACTAGAGTGAGGGAGGATTTGTTGCAACTTTTAAGATGTTTACCGACCCTGAGGACGCATAAAGAATGTACAATAAGACCCAGTGATCAGAGTTTCAAATGCAATTCTTAAAATTATTTCACGGCAGATATTTTGACCTGAAAGAGAAAGGGAAAGAACAGGTTTATTAACAGAGGCTGCATTTTAAACTCCTAAATGGAATGCAGCCCTCGTTAATACACAAGCGCTTTTTCAACCCTTTAAAATCAAAATGTTTACCGTGCAATAGCTCTGATTTACAGTATTTATTAAAATGTGTTTATTTTGCTGGAGGCGTACACACAAGCTGGGCATGTTTTCAGGAGCGGACATCTAAGGACACCTTAAGCAGATCTACAATTTGGCTCATGGCAACAACCGTATTGGCTGGGCAGGATTATACCCTATTAATGGACCATCTCTAGCTTTACGGTGCTAGAGTACCAAGAGTGAAATGCCAGCCTGACACATATCTCATGAAGCTACCAAAGCCAGTGTGTCAAAACAAACAGCCTGGCCCAGTCACATGTTGTTTTGTTGTATTCCTACATGATGAGAAATGACATAAATCTGATTTAAAACAGTGTTTCAGGAGCACATTAGCCCAGTCTTATAGGTGGATTTATGGGACACAAGCCCACCAAGAAAAATAAATGTTCACCTCAGCTATGGAATGTGAGAGCTGAAGTGGACAATGGTTCAGAGAAAGAAAAATATGTACGCAGCCAGCACAATGCCTTAGCTGGACTTAACTCTGATCTGGAGTTGAAAACCCAAGAAAAAGAGGAAGGGAGTTGTTTTTTAGATAAATATCTGTTAATGGGTTGTAATGACGCATGATGACGGACGAGAATTTCCTACTAAACACAAGGAAAGAGGGAAACAAACAAACCAGGACAACAATCTTGATAATTGGGTCTGCCATTTTGTCGGGCCTCATGTAGGCAATATTTGTGAGGAATTTGGGCTTTTGCTCCCATTTGTACAGCCGCTGCTGAGAGAGAAGGTCGGCAGCAACTTCAGGCTGTTATTTGCAATAAAATTGATGTTAAAAACCTGAAGGTTTGCCTGATTCAGCATTGAGGTATGTAGTGCAAATAAGTTTATTTTAGTTTCTCATATTAAACATGTTATTATTGTGTTTAAGCTTGCATAAAAATAACTTAAACTGGATTTCAACAGTAAATGCCTTTTTCATATTTTTTTTACACTGTGCTAATACAAACACAAGAAATTGGACCTAAAAGGGAAAAATTAAGGGTTGGCAGATGCCACATGTATTTAAAATATACTCTAACCAAATAGTTTGTATTTTAAACATTTTAAAGCTTTGTTGTATTCTTTAAAAAATCATGATAATGTGTTATTTATTACCAACTGAAGCTGTAGTTGAACATTGTTTTTACCATACGCTTACCAGAAACAAATGGGAATCTTAAAACTCAAAAGCAAAACAAATTTTTACATTTAGTTAAAAAAGAACAAATATTTTTGAAACCATGTTTCAGCATCCATGGAGCATTTTACTTTTTCTAAACATTTACTCATCTGCTTTAATAGGTATCATATAGTAAAGCATGCACATTTTCTGAAATGTGTTTTTCAGAGAAGTTATGAACATTTAATACCTGATTTGTTTGAACAGCTGTTTGAGCAGCCTCCTTTTGGAGAAATAGTTTCATTCTGAGCATACAGATGAGCTAATGTCTCAGTCTAGTAAGTGTGATAAAGTGGATTGATCCGGTTTTAAAACCCTACGTCAAAAATTTTACATTATTTCATGCAAACACCATTTTACAAACTTTTGCAGTATCATTACTTTAGCAGTTTTTAATTTCAAGTTCTATGGTTATTAGTAAACATTGACAGAAGCAGCAACAGTTGCCTGCAGCATTTTTCTCCTACCGTGGGTCATCACCAAGCAGGAGTATTATAATATTTCTATTAGAAAAAACATATAATGTAAGACTGCTGGTGATGTAATGTTTTCTAAAATAATAAACTGCTTTAACCCTCCTGTTGTGTTCATTTCTGAGGAACAGCAATAACGCTCTAGGGTCAATGACCTGGGGAATGTTAAATTAGGCAACAGTACCAGAAACTAAAACAATCCCCAAAATCAGTTTTCTAAGTGACATTTAACTCTAATATAAAGCATAGTGCAATGATTATCTTTTACAGAATAAGAATCAATAAGGGTAATTGAACTGTTTATTCTTTTCATTAAAAATGCCTGTCGCGTTTTTTTTATTTCCACTGGAAACACATACATAAAGAAAACCAATGGGTGTACATNCCCCCCCTCCCAATTTACCTGATCTGGAAGGCATTTATTGCCTGAACTGTGACCTCTGAATGCCACTAGCCTGTGACATTAGGGCCTGGGTTACTAAAGAGCAGTGAAAGTTGCTCAACATTTTTTTGTTGACTTTTTAAATTTAAAATTGGTCAATCTGACTCTCAACATAGTAGGAGGGAGAGATAAAACAACAGCAGTATGCTTAGACTAGACATTAGTTCATCTATCTGTTAAGAACTAAACTCAGGTCATCCACAGAGCTATCTGCAACAGGTATGATATTAATTGTTCATTACCTTTACACAGGACAAAACATCTTTAAATATTTTGTCTACATTGAAATGTAAAACGGGGGGTGGGGGGGTGATGTTTTTTCTTTTTCAATCTTGGATAAATTTATGTAGAAATAACAGAAAAGTTGATGCATTTTTAATAAAACTGTGTGCTGTGTTGTAGGAGCAGAAATAAGAGGACAAAGAAGAAAAGGTGCACACAAACAACCACTTATCGAACAAGCAACAAAACTCAAAAATGAAAGCCGAGATGGAAACCCTTGATCCTTCAGCTTTAACAGACATCTCCTCAGCTGTCTCCTTCCAAAGCAAACCTGAGACTGTGACCTTACCGAGTGGAGTTGTCTCGGTGGCAGGCATCACTGTGGTGACTGGGGGTGTCGAACTGTCCTGTGGGTCCTGCATGCTGGCCTTTGGGTTTTGGGGCACTCTCATCGGCTTCAGCTGTGTTGCTGTGGGACTGTGGGACCAGCTGACGCATTCTAGAAATGGCACCTCTCACTTGCTGGGGCTGGGATTCGTGATTCTGGCTCTCAGTTTTGTGGTGGTGGCCGGCGTGGCAGTGTTCCACCTACTGACGAAGAAGAAGAGGAGGAATAGAAGAAGAGAAAGAGAGGATGGAAAGCACGTGCTTGTTGAGGATGGAGAAGTGGTTAAAAAAGTCACTGTGTAATAGGGATGTAAATCACGTCATATTGTATCGATTTGTTTGGACAACGATACGATATTTCTCGATATCACAAAGTCTGTCATAATACGATTTTGATTCATTTCAGTTCACAAGTCTGTGATATTTATGACTGAATATCATGTCAGGTGATATCATTCCACATCAGGCATGTGATGAATGTATGGATCAGTGTTTTTGTTTTGCCTCTATGTACTTCATTCATCATTTAATCAATATATCGATGTGGATGGATCGATGTATTGTTACACTCCTATTGAATAAAGGTGAATTAATTGCAGGATTTAAACATGTTGGTAAAATATTCTGAACAGAATTATGTTCAGATTGTCATGAATTATTATTATTCCCTGCCTGGTTTCTAACTTAATAACAGTAGTGCTTCAGTTACTGCTTTTATCTAATAAACTATTTAAAAATGTAGTCCTCTTTTCCAACATGTGAAGTATTTTCTTTTCATAACATTTGCTTCCTTTTAACGCTATAATTTTGACATTTAGTCATAATGATATTCAAGATTGTTTTTAACAAATAAAATACAAATTATTTATGACAGGTATAGTCCAGTTGTTGTGCACTGTAAGAAAAATATGTTCTAAACAATTTAAGCAAATGTTTTTATGTTATGTCAACACATAGGTACTACATAATCTAGCATGTAACAAACTAACGTGGCGTTATGTAAATTTTTAACAACTCAAATTAACATCATAACAAAATCTGTTCAAATTTAGACAGATACTGTAACATATAATAAATAAACTCTAAAATGTTTACACTTGTCTATTCTTCCTTTAGATCTCGCACAGACTCACATACATTCTTTGCAAAAATCAAAGGTGCAACTAAGTACAAATATTTTGTCACTTTATTTAAGTAGAAATTTTGGTTATTACTTTGACATATGTAGGTTTGCAGATATATGTAGCCTCGTATGAAGATGACTGGCAGAGGTATATTGTACATGCAGCTGAAACAGGAAGACTACCTGTTTGTACCTGATTTATGTTACCTCCCAAAATTTTCAACATTAACATTTTAATATAACATTAAAATCATTATGCTCTTTAGAAAAATATTTTTGGGTGGTCACCTCCCAATAAGTATAATTTTGGAAAAACTAACTGCTCACTTTTACTTAACACTTTTACTTTTGGTAATTAAGTAAATTTTATATCTTTAGATACTTAAGTACAATAAATTTCAGATACGTCAAGACTTTTACTCAAGTAATATTCTTAGAGGAGACTTTCTTACCAAAGTAATTTTATGGTAAGATACTTGTACTTTTACTCAAGAATCTCTTTGAGATACTTTATACACAAATAAACTTTAACTATAATGGGTTCAATAATTACACACTATACAAGTATATTTATACCACAGTAAAAGGATCAAACAAATCAAAATAAAATAAACAACAATTAAACAGTTTATGATCAGAGAGAAGGTAAGACAAACAGATTTGTGAGCCTACATACCAGGTTAGTTATCCAGGGTCATCAATCACAAGCATGTTTTAATTGTTTATTTATTTAAAAAACAAAAGGGAATTTATAAATTGCACTAGTTTCTGTTTTCTTTTCTCTGCCTGGGATTTGCCTGGTTAAATAATGGTTTTTACGTAAAAGACTTATCTGTACAAACAAGCAAACAAACATGATTTGATTAAATTGTGAACTAAAATCAAACTTTTAGATGGCACTAGTCAGCAACAACTGGGAAATAAGACCAGAGATGTCTTTGACATCACCTGCCAAATTATTAAAAGGAATGTTAATTTTAATCTTTTTTTCAGACTTAAAGAGCAGTCTTATTATTAGCATTATTTTACACTACGATGTTGCAATGCAAAAAGCAGAAGTTATAGCAAACTGGAACAGAAACTTCACAGAACATGCATGTGTGTGTGTGTGTGTGGGGGGGGGGGGGGCAGGAAATGTGTGTTGGTGACACCATCTGCTGGTTAAAAAAATCATCTTAGCCTCATTTACAGTAAGTATGTTTCCTTACAGTTTCCCTAAGTGACATAACGTACACTAAATTGTTTTATGCAGACCTTTTCACTTTTGTGTAATAAAGAATATTTTGTACATCTGCTTCAACAAGATTTTTGTCTTTGTTTTCTTATTTTAACACCTGAATAACCTCTTTAGAACGATGAAAACAATCATTTTCATGATGCTACTCTATTTATGAACACATACTCACTAGTATGCAGGTATGTGAGGTACTTCAACAGGTATCAAAGGTTCACCGGGATCACCTGACTAACCTCCTCAGTCACGTGTCATCGTTCAAGTTTCAGGAAACCTTCTGAAAACAAATCACACAGGTCCCGCCTCATATTCGACCTTATTGGCTACAGCTCACAATCTCCGGGTTCTGATTGGACAGACGGGAGACAAGTCTGCGCACGTCAAAATTAAACAACTCCTTTAAAGTGGTTTGTGTGTAATCGTCCGGGCGAAGAAAATTTAGGCATAAATCGGTACCAAAATGAAAAGCGCCAAGGAGTTTGCCTTGAAGGTGAGTCCGTTGAATGCAGCAGAAACAGCTTAGCGACACGGCTCGGTGTATCTAACTAACTTTGTGTTTAAAAAACAGTTCGTGCTGCCGACGGTCTTCAAGGTGTCCACTATCAGTCACGTTACTTATTTATACAGAACAGATGTGGAACGTTTCTAATGGCTTTTTTTACCCGTCTTCTTTATGCTAACCTAAGCTAATAACGTAAACCCTCAACCTGTTGCTATCCACCTATCGTGTTTGTTTGTGCTGCTTGTTTTCAATACACTCAGTATTTTTGTCCAACATCATTACAGATAAACAGAAAGATCTGTTTCATTAAATAATATTCTTTTTAGAGACACAACCAAATTAATCCCGAGTTGTAGTTAGTTTTATCATTGAACCTGACGTGTCTCTTTTAGATTATTAATAATTTTGAGAATAAAAAAAAAAAAAAAACTCAGGAAATCCTCAAAAACAGCAGCTTCTATTTTTGTTCCTGGAGCCATAATTTCCATGATGTGAGTTACTGGTTTGAATTATGTGATAGTAAGCAACAGTAAATGTTTTCATTGGAGATAAACTTGGCTTGTAAATGCTGACATGGTCGTTTCTGGAAACATGAAAACATTATTGGTAAATGTGTGTGTGTGTGTGTGTGTGTGTGTGTGTGTGTGTGTGTG